GGAGGGCAAATAACTGCAAAGACCATGGACGGGATCAGGCGCACTGATAAAAGGTGGAAATGTGACATCTGTCTGAAGTTTTCACAAGTGTTTTGTGTCCCAGAGATTTTGGTAGCCTAGTGGTTAAGGGGTTATGTTGGCAGTTCGAATCTACTCGACGATTCAAAGGAAAAGAATGGGCAATGAAAACACCCAGTTGGATCCAGCTTGACAGCAATGGTTTGGGTTGACTGCCCCAATTAGAGAGCAGGTGTGGTGTAGTCCATAGGGAGTTGGGATGATAATCTAAAAGTGGAGTCTCTCCAGTGGTTTGAATCTACCAAGTACTCCACATAAATATGGGCAATTTACAGCTCTTTAAATTCTACCGGAGCGTCAGCTATGAGTTGATTCCAACGTCTACTCTAAGGAGCCCTAACGTTGCAAATGTTTAAGTATTGCGCTACTAACAAAGAGATCCACATTTATTCCCATTTAAAAAAAAAGTGACCCAACAGAGTGTGGAAATTATTGTATAACATCATTAATGTCACACACTAGCAAAATCCTGCTGAAGATTATCCAGAAAATGTACTTGAATAGTACATTGACAGAGAACTACCAGACATATGGGCTGGTAGAAGAGGTCGTGGCACCAGGGACATTATTGCCAATGTCAGATAGATATTGGCAGAAAGCAGAGAGGACCAGAAGAATGTCTATCTGTGTTTCATTGACTATGCAAAGGCATCTGACTGTGTGGATCACAGTAAATTATGGCTAACCTGGAGGAAAATGAGAATCTCAGAATACTTGATCATGCTCATACGAGACCTATACTTGGACCAAGAAGCAGTCCTCAGAAAAGAGCAAGGAAACACTGCCATGGTTCTAAATTAGGAAAGGAGTGCGTCAGAATGCTTCCTGTCCCTGTACTTTTTCAATGTGTATGCAGAACAGAACATTCAGGAAGCAGGGCTTTATGAGGAGAGTGACATCAAGATTGACAGAAGACTCATTAACAACTTACAATATACAGATGACACAACCTTGCTTGCTGAAACTGAAGAAGACCTGAAGCACTTGCTGCAAAAGGTCAAGGACTGTAGTCTACAATATGGATTGAAGCTCAACGTCAAGAAGACAAAGATTCTCACCACTGGGCCAATTGGCAGCACCATGATGGATGGAGAAGAGACTGAGGTTGTTAGAAATTACAGCTTGCTGGGATCCACAATCAACACTCTTAACACCAGCAGTCAGGAAATCAAAAGATTAATTGCATTGGGAAAATCCACTGTAATAGATCTCTCCAGAGTGCTGAAGAGCAACGATGTCAGTCTAGATAAAAAGGTGCACCTAATCCAGGCCATGGTCTTCTCAATTACTTGTTATGCTTCAGAGAACTGGACAATGACTAAGGATGACAGAAGAATAGATGCCTTTGAGTTGTGGTGCTGGAGGAGAGTCTTGAACATATCATGGGCTGCCAAGAGAATAGGTCTATCTTGGAGAGGCTGAAAACAAGTCTTTCCCTGGAGGCTAGGATTTTGAAGTTCCACCTCACTTACTTTGGGCACATGGCCAGGAGAGATTGGTCCTTGGAGAAGAATGTTATGCTTGGAAGGGTGGACAGGCAGCGCAAGAGAGGGAGACCCCAAATGAGATGGATTGATACAGTGACTGGGATGATGGGGGTTGGTGTGTCAGAATTAGTGAGACTGGCTCAGGACAGGGAAGGGTTCAGAGATGCTGTACATAGGGTCGCTATGCATTGCAGGTGACTCAAACAGTAACATTTTATGACAGGTTTGGAAGTAGAAGTGGCATCCACTTTCTAAACAACTTGCCTCTGGTAACTCTCTGAACTTTGATAAATGTCGATAGTTGTAGAGGGGCTTTAGGCCTTTTGTTCATAGGGTTGCTATGAGTCATGCTCGACTTGAAGGCAATCAACAACATCATCAAACCTTCCCAGCTGCTCTGAGGGTCAAAGGCATACAATCATAATCTAGAAAACCCTGTGGGGTAGTTCTCGTCCACCACACAACATTACTATGAGTTGAAAGCAACTAAGTGTTACCTAACAGCTGTCCCACTCCTTGCATTCCTTAAAATGCACATATGTTGTTGTTGTTGTTAAGTGTCGTCGAGTCGCAGGCAACTCATAGCCACCCTATGAAGGAGAATCCTTGACGCTTGGGTGCCTTTCATCCTCTCTCCAAGTTCATAGGGTTTCCGGAGGCAAGCTATTATGGAAGTGGATGCCACTCCTCCTTCCACAAAATGCACATATACAGCATTGAAATCCTAAAAAAAAATAACAAGGGAGGAAAATTGTTGGCTTGAGCCTATTCCTCTCCAAAAGGTACTGGCACATAGAAAGGAATTTGAAGACTTTCTAAAACAAAAGATATGATGCTGGGAAGGGTGGAGGGTCGGTGAAGGTGAGGAAGACCCTCAACCAGGTGGATTGACAAGGTGACTGCTGTAATGGGCTCTTGTGTGTCAGGAAGTGTGAGGATGGCGCAGGATAGAACAGGGGTCAGATCTTTTGTTCATAGAGTCGCTATGAATCATTCTCTATTCGAAGGCACCTAACAACAACAAAAACAACAACAAAGGATAAGAGTTGGTGGAGGCAATAACTGGGCGTTCCAGAATGGAGATGATCGGAGAGAAGAAAGCTGTAGCTTCTACTCTCAGGCTACCCAGTCTCGTGCTCAGTGCAACCCCTCTACTTGCCTACACAGTTTCTACCCTCACAGCTAGCTAGCTGGGCTTCCACAGCAAAGCATTTGTATTCCTCATCTTGGAGGTCTGATTACAACTTCTCGTTTAGTCTCTCTGTTAACTTTGATTATACTTTCCTTCCTCCTCTGTAATCAAGCTCAGATTGCTCCAGACTTGGCCGAATGAGCAGGGGGTGAGGAATGCCAGTGTGCACAGTGCCATGCCTGCTTCTCAGCCTTTGGGACTTCTTAACAGATATCTGGAAAATAAAAAAAAGACAGAGGTTTGGTGTTTTGTTTTTTTTTTTTTTGTAACTTCCATCAGCATGCTGCTCCTCCCCTGTGGCCAGATCTCGCACTATAAGCCATTGTTAAATACTAATAGTGAAACCTTAAAAAGATGTTCCCTTGCAAGGACAACAGGTGGCCACTGCTACCTCCAGCTCTGATTGGTGGGAACGTGCCCATAAACAGGGCCTCCAGTGAGGCCAGAACTTACCCAATGGGGTGTTGTCCTGATAATATTTCAGCTCACTGCTAATTTGTGCATCCTGCTGGGCCATTAGGGAGCACTGCTGGCTTGTCAACACTAAATGGTGGCGCTGGAGAGAAGAACAACTTTGTTTTAGGGAAAAGTGGGGAGAGCCAGTGGGAGCAGTTTTCCCTTTCCTAAATACACACCATGCTCTCAACGTGGCCAGCCACAATCAAGTTTCTTCGAAGTGCAAACAATAACAAACAGTCACCAAATCTTAATTCAGTTTTTGGGGTTTTTTTCCCCCCTCCTTGGTCTCAGAAAGAGAAATCCAGCAAAAGTACATAAACAGGTGTCACCAAACCCAAATGCCTATTTTGGAGAGCAGAAGGAAGGAAAAGAAACTCACTGTAGTTTGTCTGACCAAGTTCAGGCCTGAATCAAGGTACAAAACTGTCAAAGAGTGTTGGTAAATGTCCAGTATTTGGAAATCTCACGGCACCTCTGAAAGTAACTCACAAGGTAACTAGTTTAGGGACAGAGACAGACTTCATAGACTCTTTAAACTCGTACCACGCTAAGCCCTTCCCTTTCCCACGGCTTAGGGCCAAACTCTCTAACTCAAAAAGTAATAAAGCCGATGGGGGTGGCGGTGGGGAGAAGATGTAGCTTCAACTAAAAAAAGAAGAAATGAAGAGGGGCTGAGTGCGTTCCGTGTGGGGAAGTTAATCACCCAAAACCTTTAGGAAAGTAGAAACACGTTCTTGAGCACAGTGAATGGTCCGCCTAGATCCAGTTACTCAAATGTCTTTGGAATACAACCGGGAGCAAAGAAAATGCGAAGAGAACCTACACGAGGCTTAATCCTGGAAGCTTCAACTAACTGTGCCTACCTGTGAAAAGTCAGGCTCCGATACCCTTTCTCGAAAGCACCACAGGTGTACATGGGGTTCCAGCCCCAGGCAGGGGAGGGGACGCGCGTGCAGGTTGGTGGCTGAGTTAAGTGCCTCCAAGTAGGGCCACTGGGACAGGGAAGCACAGGGATGGGACACCGAGGGGCAGGAGTGCGGGCCAGGTGGGTAAACTGATGCCAAGAGGCTGCGGGTTGTCGGAGATGGAGGGCTGGGAGAGCAATGGTCCGAAAGCCGGAGGGAGGGCCACGCGGGGTACGGGGTGGCGGCTCGGAGGGGCCAGCCAGAGCCGCCAAGAAAGGAAGAGGACGAGGAGGAGCGCTCCGAAGCAGCGGGGACAAAGAGGACCCGAGAGGGAAGAGGTCGAGGAGGGAGGAAGCGGGGAGGCCGCCGCCAGGTGATGGGGCAGGCGAGGGCTGCGCGCCGCGCGCAACGGGCCGCGGAGGG